CTTTTCTCCTGCAGCTGTCGGAGGGAGAATACCATGTCAGTGGTGGATCTGTTAGCTCGAAAGCCGCACTGTGATTCTGGATAGATTCTATCTGCAAGCACCTGGAGCCTCTTCAGCACAACACGGGCAAGCAGCTTCCCTACCACACTAAGAAGAGAGATGCCACGGTAATTATTGCAGTCACAGCCTGTCTCCTTTGTTCTTGTACAATGTGATAATGTTTGCATCCTTCATGTCCTGTGGTACTCCACCTTCCCTCCAGCAGAGACAAAAGACCTCATACAGTTCAGAGGTGATGATCTCCTTACAGCATTTCAGCACTTCAGCGGGGATGTTATCCTTTCCAGGTGCCTTGCCGGAGGCGAGGGAGTCCAAGGCCGCTTTTATTTCTGCTAGGGTTGGTTCGCTGTCCAGCTCTTCCAAGATAGGCAGGCACTCAATGTTATTTAATGCTTCTTCGGTTACTACATTCTCTGTGGAATATAGCTCAGAGTAGTGCTGTACCCAGCGTTCCATCTGCTGTGCTCACTCCTGGATGAGCACACCTGTAGCAGACTTCAGGGGAGCAGATTTCTTCTGTACTGGACCTAAGGCCTGCTTGATACCGTCATACATTCCTTTGATGTTACCTGTGTCCGCTGCTAACTGTATCTGAGAGCAGAGCTGGAGCCAATAATTGTTGGAGCATCTCCTGGCAGCCTGTTGGACTTGACTGCAAGCAGCTCGAAGAGCTTACAAGTTGTACTCACTAGGACAGGCTTTGTATGCTGCTAGAGCTCTTCTCTTATCCTCGATGGCTGGCATTAACTCCAGCAGTAAGTGTATATTAAATAACATAAAGAGCCTGTTAAGAGCAAGAAGGACCAAGACCAAATTCTGGATCCTGATTTGTGTGTGTGCCACTGCTTGCTTGTTATTAGTATCGCTGCAGAACTATTGGCAATTATAGGTACCACAATTTAGAAAGATTATCAGCCAACTGGAATATATCCAGAAGAATGCAGCAAAAATGGAGAGTGAGTGGAGACCAAATGCTATGAGAAGAGATTGAAGGAGTTTGGGGTATTCAATTGGGAGAGGAGAGGATTAAGAAGGGCTGTGACAGTCACCTTCAGAGATTGCCCCCCCCCCCCAGACTGCAAACTCACTCATCAAAAATCATCAGAGGAAATATATCCTGTATTTGCTGCAAAATAAATACCAGCTCTATTAGCTACAACTGAATCAATTTGGAGAACAGTTCTAGATGTTGTCAGTCATGGACAATAGTGAAGCTGTGTTGCTAAGGAAATACCCTGTCTGGCCAGCTCCTCCCTAAATGGCAAGTTGGGTGTTTCAGCCAGTACATATGCTCCCAGGAGACATGGAGGACCCCATGGTGGTCGTAGATGTCATGTGGCCTTTGTTGCTACTATCATCTACTCAAGCCTTTTCATCAACCCGTGTTTTGGCTGCCAGGATGCACTGGGGGCCTCAGGATGAGTCAGGGAACCCTGCTGTGGCAGATAGTGAAGGAATTTCTGTTCTTCTGGGAGACAGAGCATAAATCGATGAGTTCAAACCTCAATGAAAACTGATTTTGGCTAATCCTTCAAGCAATAGGGGCCAAAGCTCTGGAGTCATCTTAGGCAGAAGACGCACTGCTGGTACTGCTGCCACTCCCAAGATCATTTCCATTGTCTGACTTCTTTATCAGTCATTGAGCGAAATAAAGAAAAGCTGGCTCTGTGAACTGCAGTGCCTGTTGCACAGAGGAATGTTGTGGTACAGATGGTCTCCCAGGCTATCTTGTCCACAGTGCCCTGCCCTGAGGACTGCTCAGCACAAAGCATTTGCTGGTTACTTAGTTTTGAAGAGCTGTGTGGCAATTAATTTTCTGTTGCAGCAACATCACAAGAGGAAAGTGGGCTGGCAAACTTTAGAGCCTGCCATTGCCTTGCTCAGGGGCCATGGTTGGCTACTTTCTGACAGCAACATTTGCCACAGCAAAGAGAGCTGTGGGTTTCTGAACAGCAGCAAGCGAGTTTTTTCTGAATGACAGCAGGAGACTTCTCACCTGGAGGAATGGTGGGTACCTTGACTAACTGAGGCTTACTCTTAGTCCTGTACAGAGGGGCTGCACTTTCATTAGGAAGACATTTCTAATAATACCAGCTCTTAGGCCATCCCAGAAGCTGATGGATTTTTCTTCACTAGAGGCTTTTGGACAGAGGTTATATGGCCACCTGTCAGGGATGTTAGATTAGTAAATTTCCTACAATGGCAGAGGGTTGGACTAGAAAACATTTGAATTATAATAATAATCTTAGAACTGCAGATCTGGAATGATCCCTCTGGATCATCAAGTCCAGCCCCTGTCAAAGAGGCACAGTGGGGAATTGAATTCCCAACCTATGGCTCCATAGCCAGAGAGCTAAACCAGGGAGCTATGATTCCATTATTTTATATGCTTAGTTACCTTACAAGGTATGTTTACTAGCAAGGTTGAGCTCTGCCTGTGATTTCCTTCTCCAGATACTCCTGTGAAAAATGTGTCAGTCTTGCATGACTATCTTCTCATAGTATACAATTCTTGGAGGCAAACTGAGAGTAATAGTAGTCAAGCCAGCATGAGAGGCAAACTGTTTGTGAAGTACAGAACACAGGGATGGATAAGAACAAGAGGATTGATAAAAGATAGCAATACTTGGTATTTTTGACAGACAGGAAAACTGTAGAAGTAATATATTCTATACAAGATCTTGATAAAGGAAATGGATACATGCCTTATTTTAAACCTTCTTAAAAAGTGCAACAGGTGAAAACTAAAAGCTATACTCTTTTAATAGCGTAAGTAGTTAGAAGATTCAGGCGCCTGATTTTTTGAAAAGGTAATTTATTTTCATTTATATTCATACATCTGTGTGTGTGTGTGTGTGTGTGTGTGTGAGAGAGAGAGAGAGAGAGAGAGAGAGAGAGAGAGAGAGAGAGATGCATAAATACAAACACACTTGCATTTATGGATCAAGGATTCCCTGTTCAAAGCAAGTAAGAGAACAACTTACCTTGTGGTGATGAAGTTGTGAGAGCTCAGCGTCAAACACTGCTTGGAGGCTTAGTTTGTGGTGGCAGTCTGTATTTATGAGATTCTCAGTGGCTTCCTGTTGTTAAATAAGCATATATCTGATGTGTGATAACTGTGGCGTATATATCACAAAAGATAGGCAATATATAGAATAATATGCCAAATAGGTTTGCCCCACAGCTGTCATGACAAAGAAGACTTGCATAGTTAGGAGATAGGTAAGGAATACTAAAATAATTGCCTGTCAGTGGTACAGCATTTCACAACATACCCTGCAGGGAGATGAAACGTGAGTTTGAAGTCTGAAATAGCTATTCTATCTCTGGAAATCTCTCTCTCTCTCTCTTTTATTTATTGTTCATTGAATTTGCATAGTAGCTTTATGCTAAGAGAGAAAGGAAAGAATAAAAGAGCAGGATTACTTTGGCCATCTCATGAGAAGAGAAGACTCCTTGGAAAAGACCTTGATGTTAGGAAAGTGTGACGGCAAGAGGAGAAGGGGACGACCGAGGATGAGATGGCTGGACAGTGTCTGTGAAGCAACCAACATGAAATTGACACAACTCCGGGAGACAGTGGAAGACAGGAGGGCCTGGCGTGCTCTGGTCCATGGGGTCACGAAGAGTCGGACATGACTAAACGACTAAACGAACGACGATCCCTGCTCATTGGTGCCAAGTTTCCTGGTCCGGATTGCTCTTCTACCCCCCTTCAATTATAGCAAGGCTGATCTTATGGACCTTGATGTGCTCTTTTCAGTTTAATCAGTAGAAGTCTCTGAGAACGTGATTGAAGAGCTGGCAAACAGGATGTGCATTACCTACCATAAGCTGGCTCTTTCTTTCTTTGTGCATTTCAAAAGTACCACAATATGATTAATAACTATACAGTATTAGATAATTTTTGCCCAGTAATAGGAAACACCAAGAGCATTTGGGGCACATACGAGGTGGTGCTGATAAGTATTGAGCCTTTCCCAGAAAAAAATTCAGCTAGGAAGCTGTAATTGCCACACTATTCTACATATTCCCCCAGGAAGTCAGTGGCCTTGTGACATCTGCCTTGCAGCTTCTTAAGTCCCTGCAAATAAAAGTCTTCCAACTGGTGGTGTAACCACTCATTTGCAGCATTAGTTGCCAGAACCCTCCCAAATCGTTGTCCCTTTAGATGTTTTTTGAGTTTAGGGAACAGATAATAGTCAGAAGGAGCCAGGTCAGGAGAATTGAGTGGATGGGGCTTCAATTGAAAGCCTAAGGAGATCAGTTTTGACATTGTTTCACCTGCAGTGTGTGACGAGGATTATCATGCAACAGGATGAAACCTTTGGAGCTTTCCTCGATCTTTTTCCTTGATGTTTTGCCTCAGCTTCATAAATAAAACACAGCAATATTTTGCATTGATGGTTGAACCCTGTTGGAGGTAGTCCACCAGCAGAAGCCACTGGCAATGGTGCGGCTAAAAAATATTGTAAATAAATAAATAAATAAACTCCCTTCTTATCCCAAAAAACTGTTGCCATTTGCTTCTGCACCGACCTTTGCACTCGGAACTTCTTTGGCCTGGGGGAACCACTGTGCCTCCATTCCTTAGACTGTTCCTTTATCTCAGCATCATAACAGTAGATCCATGTCTCATCACCAGTTACCAGTTTGCCCAGGAACTCATTTCTTGCAAAATGTTCCAAAACAGCCACCAACGACTCCACACGTTTCCTCTTTTGTTCAGTTTTCAAAAATTTGGAGATCAACTTTGCTGCCAGCTTTCTCATTTCCAAGTCATTGTGGATAATGGCACCAACTCTCTCACGTGATATTCTCAGATACATAGCAATACTTTTGGCTGATATGCGACGGTCCTCCATGATCATGTCAAGGATGGTTTTCCCATTTGCAGGCACACAGACAGAAACAGGCCTTCCACTGGGTTTCTCACTTTCAACACCAAAATTGCCCTGTTTAAAAAGTGACAACCCACCATTTAACTGTTGCATATGAAGGGCCACTGTCACCCATAATTTGTGACATTTCATCATGGATCTGCTTTGCACTTTTCCCTTGGAGAAATAGGAACTTGATTATGGTCCTATGCTCTTCTACATTGAACTTTTCTGGGGGTGCTGCCATGTTCACTTTGGACTGGAAAATAAAAGTTAAGTTAAAATCATAGGTAGTTGATTTTTGCACCATTGAATATAGACAAATTGGCCAATACACCCTGCAATTTATAGCTTCCTAGCTCATTTTTTTCTGGGTAAGGCTCAATATTTATCAGCACCCCCATAGCATCCAGTCTTCCATGCTATAAATTGAAGGGCATAAAGTATGCTGACATAGGTGTGACACTATCCAATCCTCTTTGCACTCACAAAGAACTGTGCTGGTGCAAAACCCCATCATCTTAGGTTCACTTGGTTTTGCTAACATTTAAGAGCAAAAAGAAAAAAGAGGTGGTTCATAGTTTTTTTCTACATAATCCTTGTATTCTCTACTGTTCTTTCTAAATTCATAGGTGTTCCGAAAAAAAATATTTCTGTGATTTTAATCCCGTGAGTAGTAGGATGGTAACCAAAGAGTGGATGTACATTTGATTTAGATGCTTGGAGTCTTCTGCTATTATCTGCTATCTATCTGTGTCTGTCACTGGGCACAATGACTGCTAGATTGATTTTATCAATAGTGGATATAGGTGTGTGGTTCTTTTTAAAAAACATTGCTCCCTGTGGAGACCTTTTGCTTAGCATTTTGGAAAATGTTTCTTCTAGGTCAGCCTATGATGCAAAGCGACATCTTGGTATCTGGAGGCAAAACAAGATCTAGTTGGGCACCCTTCTAGGTGACCTGAAGTTTTTAAGATGCCTGCTTGTTTCTCATATGGAAGGCACATATATGCCTGCTTGTTTCTCAGATGGAAGGCACATATATGCTTGCTTGTTTCTCAGATGGAAGGCACTGAACTGCAAGGAGAGCAAACCTATCCATTCTAAAGGAAATCAACCCTGAGTGCTCACGGGAAGGACAGATCTTGAAGCTGAGGCTCCAATACTTTGGCCATCTCATGAGAAGAGAAGACTCCCTGGAAAAGACCCTGATGTTGGGAAAGTGTGAAGGCAGGCAGAGAAGGGGACGACAGAGGATGAGATGGTTGGACAGTCATCGAAGCGACCAACATGAATTTGACCCAACTCCGGAAGGCAGTGGAAGACAGGAGGGGCTGGCGAGCTCTAGTCCATGGGGTCACGAAGAGTCGGGCACGACTAAACAACTAAACAACAACAACAAGGATTAGGTTTTAAGTTGATCTCTATCATTACATGTGCCAAATTCTTCTAATGCATGAAAAGAGATTCCATCTTCTGAAAGTGGTCCCGCTGAACAGCAAGTGTGAGATTGTCAGCATAAACTACAGTGTGTTGAGGTTTGTTGGGAGTTTAGATAATAAACAAAACAAGAGTCAGTACACTGCTCTTGGAGTAGGCAATTACTTTGAGTCCACCGTTAGCTGTATTGTCCCTGAAAATGAAGCTGGCTGAAAAGTGATATAACATAGTTGTTTGTTTTATCAGTAAAGACTGGCTTTAGGCACAGCAGGAAAATTGGCACCCCCATTCTGAAACACATTGGGTAGCAGAGTTACCACGGTAATAAATTGAACTAAACTTGTGAATGTTTACTCAGCAATAAGTGTATGTGGACAATCCCACAAAAGAGTCCGGGGAGCATGGAGATTACAGGCCACACATTACCTACCATAGTATTCAACACAAAGGGGTTTTCTTCTTCCTCTATGGATTTGTTTAACTTTAGTGCTGGTCCTGCTAGGAAGATGGTGGAACATGACAGTTACATACTGCCTCTGATGCAGGCAGGACTTTTCATTCCACACCCTTCTTGGGATGAGTCCTCTCTGCATGGAGCTGCTGCACTTCTGGCAGTGGTACACATTCTTATTATGTAAGCTAGGGTGAATAGATGTGTAGAAAAAAATCCTCTTGAAAATTGGTAATTTCTCTCCAACATAATTTCATTTTGCCCAGTTGTACATGCGTGTCTGTTATACTTTGTAAAGGTTTCTTCCTAGGGTGATAGTTCCCTGTCTGCAATATAGCACTCCTGACTTCTTCTTTACATGAACATTTCCTTATATGTACCACAAAAAAAGGAGGGAGGTTATATGAGGAGGTGCATTTCTCGCTTACTATTCAAAATTTTAGTTTTGAATACAATAGTCTTTCTTTCCTATTCTCATTCATTCTGTGTTTGCACTGAACTGCACTCCAGTTCTTAGTAGTGGAAACCTGAAGCGATATAGCCCAGACATAGGCTTACCACTTCTGTGTGAAGCAAACTTTAAGATACACCACAATGCTGACCTGTTTCTCTTGAATATGTCAGGGTGTTTTTAAAAAAATACCTAACGTGTACAATCATTTTTGTAATTAAATCTGCAAATCCATAGAATGGATGGTTATTGTTACTTAACTGTTCTCAGGTGGTTAGATTTGACATTTGATATTTCAGGAAATGTAAGCACAAACGGTCGCAAAGTGGCAGAAAGGTGTTTAGATAATCAGAAAGTCTTCATCAATGTTCATATTCCCAAAGTTGACTCCCTAAACACAACATTCTGGTTTCAGAAATTATCCACACACTTTGTCCTCCCTCTGTCAAAGTAAGCTTGACACTGTACTAGCCCAAGGCTCCATACCAACGTTGAAGGAAGATTCACCTGGCTCACTTTTGTGTATAGAATGGCAGAGGAACAAACTTACAGTGGACCCTCTACTTACGGAATTAATCCGTATTGGAACAGTGGCTGCAAGTCAAAAAGTCTGTAGGTTGAGTCTCCATTGACCTACATTGCATTGAAAACCGATTAATCCGTAACCGGCCATTTTTATTCCTATTTGGGGTTTTTTTCAGGTCTGTAGGTCAATTCTCCGGCTGCCAAGTTGAACTTAAATTTTGTGGCCAGAGAAGTCTGTAACTCGAAAAGTCTGTAAGTCGAGCTGTCTGTAAGTCGAGGGTCCACTGTATTACTCGCAAATAGCAAAATGTTTTGCTTTTGAGGTAGTTGTTTTTTAAAACCATAAGAAGGAATGAGTTGTTTGCCCAATGAAAGTGGGAAGAAAACCTTCTTATTGGTAAGAGAAAAGAAAAAAACTGATGCATTCCATAAGGGTAGTGGTGGGGATATTTTCAAGGACGATTCTATCAGAATAGGTAAAAAAGTGGTAGCAGTTGACTTACACTCTCTGTAATTTAACATTGCCTTGTTTTTAATTGCCTATCACCTGTTATTGTATTCATGGTTTTAGTTCACTTTGTCTTGTAGATGCATATTGGGTGAGTTCTCCTCCCCTCCTTGTCAACCATTTGCTCCCATGACAAGTCCTGAGCTGTCCAGAAATGCCTGGATACATATATGGCAGGTCATATACTTGATCAAATTGAAATATGGTGCTGAAAGAGAGTTTTGCAGATACCCCAGACTGCCAGAAAAACAAACAAGTGGCTCCTCAAGCAGATCAAGCCTGAACTATCTCTGATGGCAAAAATGATGAAACTGTCCTGCTTTGGGCACATCATGAGAAGGCAGGATTCTTTGAAAAAGACAACAATGCTGGGAAAGGTGGAAGGCAGCAGGAAAAGAGGAAGGCCAAATACAGGATGGATTGACTCCCTAAAGGAAGCCACAGGCTTGAGTTTACAAGATCTAAGCAAGGCAGTTAAGGATAGGACCATTTAGGGATCACTCATTCACATGGTTCCTGTATGTCAGACACTCCTACCTGTGTTCTCTGGCAGCTGATACCGAGAAGCTGTAGACAACAACTCTTAAGGTAGAACTACACATTAATTAAGGAGCATATGTATTTCCTATGATTAACACATTTTCCTTTCCACAATGGGGTTTCCTCAAATGTTCCTCAGACTTGTAAATTAAGTCCCTATTTATTTCCCAGAGACTAATCACAAAACAAAGCACAGATGCATGCAAGGTATGTAATAATTTGTTGTTCTAAGTGGTGGTACAGGTACACAGATAAAATATATGAATTGGGTAGCTGTGTTAAGTCAGATGCCTTTTATTTCACCTTTAAGAGTAACAGAATCATTGTACCCCACTAATGGAGATGTTGTTGACTATAGTTGTTCTTGTGAAAAATCTGTTAGTCTTAAAGGTGCTAAAGGTGCTGTGATTTCCACAGGTTTGGCTATTACTGTGTTACAGTAATATAACAAAAACTCAAGGGGCATCATTAAGAGTAACAGATTAAAGCATGCCCTGTCATTTTGCCTCAAGTGAATGGAGTGCACTCTTGGAGGTTCAAGTAGATATGTAATACATATGACTGGGTATGGCAGTATAGGCAGTGTGATCACTGATGAGAGCAAACTGGAATGCAGATTTTTTAAATAGGGGCAGCTACATTGACATAAGCATCCTGGCATGATAAGCATCTGTTTATCCAGTGCAAGAGTTACCTAAGCTTTCTTTCCAGTTTGAAGTTTCATCTTTTTGTAAAATAAATTAAAAGTTTTCACAGGTATGTCTATTTTAGGTGAAACCCTAGAAAACACACAAAACCAGTGTGTTGAGCCTCGAGTAGTCTGTTAGTATACATAGTGTGCTTTGTTTTTCCAGCTGTAGCAGCATAACATGGCTACAGCCACTGCATTGGAAAACAGAACATTTTAGTATTCTACTGCCATCTACTGTCATGCAGCTTAACTTCTTTCTTGATCAAATTAGTAAGAAACATTGGTCTTACAGTATATTAGCATTTGGAAACCTCCCTGAAATGGCTTTGCCCTTAAGAGATGATATGCAAGTATTAAACATATAATTAAAAAAACATACAGTGAAGCACTTTGATACACACAGATCCCTGTCTCTGAATTCACAATGTTCTGTTCACATAGTATGAATGTCAGTTATTAGCCCATTGCATTTCAGTATTTTCTGCACAAATCTCTTGTTTTTTACACTTTATTTTGTAACAATTTTGTGTGTTTGATAAAATAGAATTGCACCGTCTCTTACAACGTAGACCCTGCTGAAGCTTTTCAAGGTCCCTGTACCTTTACACTGAATACACTTGCTCAACCGCCTGTTTTATTTCTGTTTCTGTCTCCAGAATGAGAAAATCAGTAACAAATAGGTTGTGCTTTGTTCCTTGAATTCCTTCTTTCAATAGCCTAGCCCATCTGCCCATTTCTCTTCTCTCTTGGAATTATAGCTTTTGATCCTTGAAAACAGGAATTCATCAGAGGAATGAAGCAGTTCTATGGCAAATCTAATAAAGATTCCGTTTGTCTGTTTGATTACCAGTCTATGTTGTTAATGCTGTAAGCCGCCCAGAGACCTTCGGGTAGTGTGGGCGGCATAGAAGTTAGATAGATAGATAGATAGATAGATAGATAGATAGATAGATAGATAGATAGATAGATAACTAAATAAATAAATAAATAAATGTTTAAGAGTACTGGGACGTTCACCCCGTGCCCCGGTTTCTTTTTCTCAGCCCATAGGGCTCACGCTGGTGACGTTCCCTCTTTCTTTCGCTGCCACCAGTGGATTTCTTTATCCACGCTGTAAAGGACTTTAGTCTTACACTGGCTGCCAACAAGAGAACTGGTTTATTAAAGGGTATTAGGGGTAATTCAGAATCACAATTCTTTATCCATTTCATGGAATCAAAATCATTGAAATATCATATATTCTGCCACACATTCAATCACCTCCTGTTTTATTTATTCACTTTAACCAGTTTAATTAGTTACAGTTACTTTAATTAATTAGTTACTTTAATTAGTTACAGTTCTCAGGCTTGCTCTATCTCTCGCTCTCTCTGCAAACATCTCTCCTTTTCTTCTCTTTCACTCTCCCTCTCTAACTCCCTCCACTGATTCTCTGCCTCCACCCCTCCTGTCCTCTCATAGGCTATGCAAATGAGCTCCAGCTATGAGTGACAGGCGTGATGTGGGGGATCCGTCACAAGTACCATCCTATGTACATTAGCCAGAATCTGTTATGAATTTATTCTGGCATAAATGGAACTGCATAAATAATGCTGGTGAATTTCTACTAAGTAAATGTGTTGCTATTCACATCCCTAAGTGAGCAAGTCATTAATTATTGTCAGTTCACCACTATAATTTATGTAGTTATGTTTAACACCCTAGTAAATCCACAGTAGGATTTTGGTCGCTGGCAAGTAAATAAACCTCCTGGAAGTCAATTGTGCCTACTTTTCAAAAGACAGTTATAAAATTCTTTTGTAAATATTTTAATCCTATTATTAGCCAAATTTTGGGCAAATCAGTTTATATCAAAGCTGAGTGAACTGCTCGGTAGCTCGGTGCCTCCTCGACAGCGGTTGGACTCGATGATCTATTGGGTCCTTTCTGATTCTAAGGTTATTGTTATAATGTGTGGCCTATATGTGACCTACAAGGTCTTTTTGGAGCCTTCTGACCCCTCCTGTATCCTCACCTGGCACGAAAGGCCATTCTCTGCTCTTGGGAAATCTGAGTTCCATTTTTCTGTAAAATAGGGTGCAGACCCTCCAAGCCCTGGGAAGGTCCCCCAATAGAAAACCGACAAACAGACTCAAAGTAGAACTCTGAATTTTCATACTTCGTGTGTCTTGTAGTGAGTTCTGGGAGTAAGAAATAAGCCCATTCCTGGTTTAGATAGCGGACAAAAATCAATCAAATCTATATAAATATTTCCTCTATGAGAACTGGATGTACTGTAGAGTCACAACATGAGCAGAAAACAAATATAACAGCAGCTATGGAAAGCTTTCGCTAGAAATGGCCAGTTAGGTTTTGTCACTATTGCTAGATGGGAAGACATTACTCTGCTGGAGAGCATTCAGTACCAGTGCAGTTTGATGTGCTTAGCTGCTCTCCTGCTATCGTCTTTTAATTTAGAGTTCTTGGTGGAGAAACAGAAAAACACATTTATTGTTTTAAAAAATGTTTTAGTTGTTAATTTTATGTATGAAAAGCAAAGTATAATTATTTTAAGGATCGATGCATAATGGGGATTTCTGTGCACCATTTTGAAGGGGGGGGAAGAATGATTATTTCTTTTTTTTCTTTGTCCAGAAACAGCACATATAATTCCTCAACTTTTGATGAATCTGATGACTTACAGATGAACCAAGATGCAGAGATCTGCTTGCTGAAATCAGGAGAGCTGATGTAAGCAAATATTTATTTCAGTTGTTAAAAGATTAACCACCCAGTATTATGCCTGCTCAGAAATAACATCCCACCAGATTCAGTGCAATGAATGCCTTGATATGTGTGCATGGTATTGTAGCTGAAGTCTACATTTGTTTTCGGTGTCTGTGAACAGGACTTCATTGCATTTTTACATAGTTCCTTTTATATAGTTGACTGAAAAACATAACCCAAAGTTGGAGACCAGTTACCAGCTAATGCAAAGTTCATGTTTTGGTGCAGTGGTTGATAGATGCATTGATACATGGAGATCAAGGTTCCCATTAAGCTCAGCGCGTGCACACACAACTCTCCTCTCCGTGCAGCTATCTTCCTCCTCAGCGCTACAATCGCATTAGGTTCTGGTTGCGATGTAACCCAGCACATGGGGGGGACACAGTGACATGCACACGCAGGGCCAAAGCTGGGGGGGGGAATTAAAGGGTACATTGTGGTAGATGCAAGAAAATTATGACATCTTTTTGCCTCCTAGGCAAAGAGGTAAAGTAGTGTGAAATAACACCCATCTTCCAAAAGTGATGAAAATACTCCTATTTTTATTCCTGGGTCATTATTTTCCTTCTTGAGGTTTAATTGGTTTGCTCAATCAGTGACAAGATGAACTACAAGTCTAAATCTCAAAGCAAAACCAAACCAAAAACAATTCCCAAGTCCAATCATTTCAAGGCTAAAGATTATTTTTTTTTTACATATATGTCTGTGTACATGCAAATCCAGTTGCTTTGAAATGGGTTGGTTACATTTTTAAAAGATTGCAATATTAGCTTACCTAGGAGTAAGACTTTTTGAAATCTGTAGGATTCAGTGTGGTATACTCCTAGTTGTGGGTGTAGGGTTAAATGCTTAGCACTCATTAATCTTTGTATATTCCTACTGACTTCAAAGCATACCTAGTGGAACCACAGTTGAACAGTTTAGGGTTAGGCTTTCCTTGCGAAGATTCCTGGGAGTTGGAAAATACTTTTTTGGTCCATAGAAAATGAAGCCTTTATAAAGGTTCTGTGTGTGGTTCTTTGTGTAGAACTTGCTTCTAGATGCAAGGGTATTTTGCATGGTGTTTGATTGTAGGGTTTTGCAAGTATGAGGGGAAAACCCTAGCTAGGATTAGCAAAGATGTAGAATTGATCTTGAGCAGGTAGCACTGTGGATAATAAGCTGGAGCAAGAAAGCATTCATGAGAACCAAATGTAACAATACTGAACAAGGTAAGGTTCCCTTGACATTTAGTCCAGTCGTGTCTGACTCTAGGGCGCGGGGCTCATCCCCATTTCCAAGCCGTAGAGCCAGCAATTTGTCCGTAGACAGTTTTCCATGGTCACGTGGCCAGCACGACTAGACAAGGAACGCCATTACCTTCCCACCATGGTGGTACCTATTTATCTACTTGCATTTTGCATGCTTTCAAACTGCTAGGTTGGGACAAGCGACAGGAGCTCACTCCGTTGTGTGGATTCAATCTTACGACTGCAGGTCTTCTGACCTTGCAGCACAGAGGCTTCTGCGGGTTAACCCACAGTGCCACTATGTCCAGTACTGAACAAACCTAGGCTCAAATACCTGCCTGCTCCTTTGATGACTGATTGATTGATTTGATTCATTCATTCATATACCTATAGCTATTCATTAGATGCTTAGTCCCAAAAATAAGACTCACAGCAGCTATGAAATTCATCCTAACCTAGCCACCATCTGGCAACATGATACGTCTCAAAGGTTTGGTCTAAGGGCAGGGAGCACTGTGGATGGTGATGTTCCATGTTAAGCTCCTTGAAGAAATTGGGGTTAGAAGTAAATGATATTGAGAAATGGAATGATATTGTCTATCAGAGGGATACCTTTAATTCATAATATAGTTGATATTGTGCCCACTAAATCGTACACATTATGTAATATGGAACCACTGTGTAGGATCACTATGTAATTACACATTATATGATATTGGACCATAGGCCCACTACGCATTGCAAGTTGGATCCAAGGTAAGTTCATCGCCCTTTGGTCCTAGTGAAATTACTGAAATTGAAGTTATTCATGACCAGTTTGTCCCACTGATTTCAAGAGGGCTAAAGTATGACCAACTTAATCTGCATCAAACTCTGAATAACTAGGAACACTGTTTCCATGTTCTCACCCTGAGCCCCATAGTGTGTGAATTTAAGGCTATCGACGCTTCTTACAACCCACGTAGCTTTTCAAAAACCTCCTTTCACTTTCTGCATGACTTTCAGTGAAACTACAAAGCAAATGCACATTGGGTTCAGGATCCTGCATATCTTTGAAGTAATCTTTACTTTTTACTTCTGCAAGGAAAATCCACATATGCACATGTGTGTCATCAATCTAATATGGGCCTTCGGCTCTCTTTTTCCTTTTTTCAGGCTAAAGCTGCCCCTCACTGTGGAGGAGATTCTGACATTTGGAGAAGCTAACAGAGAACTGTTCATTAAATCAAGTACATACAGCATTATTCCCATCACTGTGGTGGAAACTGGCCTTACAATATGCTGGGTGTTTTCATCTGAACCAAAGAGCATATCATTCAGCGTGGTGTACCGAGAATCAGAAGATGCTCCATTGGATCAGTGTAAAGTAAGGCAACTGCATCACTGTAGTGTTGTTCTTGTCCACTGAACTAGCTTTTGTCTTGCCTTTACTTATATATGAAACAAATTTGTTCAGATAAGAGGAGTAAAGAACTCTTATCTATCTGAAACCAGCAAATCACATGCAAAATATACTTTAGAGAGAGAATGTGGTGCAATGGTTAGGGGCGCTGGATTGGGACTCAGGAGACCCAGGTTCAAGACCTCTTAAAGCTATGAAAATCTCAGCATGTAACACAGGCTGTTAATACACACGAAGGCTAACATAACTCATAGGGTTGTGGTGACTAATAATAAAGAGAAGAGTTTTGGCCGTACTGGAAAAAAACAGGCTATAAACGTAACAAATTTTTAAAAATTCAGTTGGCAACTTTTTAAAATTTTAGAATCAAATGTCTCAACTTTGTGGGAAATAGACCTGTTCCTAGCCTATGGATACAATAATAGCACACTGTTCTCTGTAAAGCACCATACATGCTGGCCATGATGCCATCCTCTCTTCAGCCACAACAGATATAAACCACCAATCCCGTCATTGTTTAAGTTTTAGATTCTACATTTAAGTTAGGTTTTATTGAATTAGATCATGACTTTTTTTCTCCTTTTGTTTTATTATTTACCAATGATTTGCTGTTATATCATTTAGTTTTCCTTTTGATTGTAAACCATCCAGAGTAGTCCTTGTCAGTAGTCAGGTGGTGTAAAAATATATAAAAAGTAAATAAGTGTTGACAACAGTGACAGCAGCAGTAGCAGCGCATTGCACTTTCTGCATCAAAGGTCCCAGTTAAGTTCATACAGTGGCAAAACTGTTGTGTAATTAGGATTTTTTTAAAATCCTGTTTTCTTAAAAGCAGTATTTCAGTTGCCTTCATTAATCCAGATCAGGTAATTCTGTACCTAGTGCAGTGTTGTTCCATGATGAGAAGACTTCTACTGGTGATATCCTGGCATTACATGGAAGAACTATACAGATAATAATTCAGTAATACATTTTTATCGTTATATTTATATTCTGCCTTTCCTCCAGTGAGCGAAAAGTGGTATACATGCCACTCTTTCTTAAGGATGTTACCAATGGTGTCCAAAAACATTATGATTATTTCTGTACATACTATTGGGCTTTTAAGCTTCTTTGGAAATGGAGGAGGTTTTGGTTTCCAAAGCAGGATGTGATATGTGGGAAAGAAGCTCTTTAAAGATAACAATGGCTATGCCGACTGGGGGAATTCCTGGAGTTGTAGTTCAAAAAAGTAACTTTCCTAAGACTTTTGCTCTACAAGTTCTAAGAAATGTCTTCCTCTCTTCAGCCCCCTCAGAAGACTTGCTTTACCAAACTTACTTATTTTGTTAATTGGTGAGAACAGGGCTGGACAGCATGTCTTATTGCCATCTAGCAATTATTGGTCCCACAACTCTCCTCCTCCCATACCGTTGTCTATACCACTGGTTCTTAACCTTGGGTTACTCAGGAGTTTTGGACTGCAACTCCCAGAAGCCTTCACCACCAACTGTGCTGACTGGGGTTTCTGGGAGTTGCAGTTCAAAAGCATCTGAGTAACAAAGGTTAAGAACCACTGGTCTATACCACAGCTGGCAGGAGGTTGCAGGCAATTGCACCAGATGATTTGTACCTTGCACCCAACTGGGTGAAAATCAAGCCTTTAAAGATACCACTGAAGTCCTCCCAGAAAAACCTTATTTCACATTTTGCTCTGCTGTGTCTTTTATAGGTTCTCATTCCTATGACTCGCTGCAACTCTCATAAAGAAACCATCCAAGGGAAAGTGAAAGTCAGAAATGCTGGGATCTACATCCTGATATTTGACAATACTTTCTCAAGGTTGGTGCAGCTGGAGTGGGTGAGGGGAGGGTGGTGAAACACTCACACAAAAGACACCTGATGCAAGTTTTCTCCACTATCCCCTCTTCTGTACAATAATTTAAGGTGCAGGTGCTCTGTTCTCTTTTATATCTGGCTGTCTTAGTGTGGAGAGAAAGACCTTTATTGCATTAACTGGTATATTTTATATGTTCAAAGTATATGCTGTGCTGTCGTGCATGAGGCTCATGACCAAGGCCTCTGAAATTGTGGGTTGTCCTTCCTGCCCCAGTCCACAAGGCACTTCCTGTTCTCCCCTGAAGTTCTGCAGCCGAAGACGTAACAGCATTTTCAAAAAACCCATAAACAGAATCAACTTAAAGTTCAGGCATACTCACAGTCCAAAGGAGATTGGAAATGTTGGGTTTCAATACAAAGGGATTTTCCTGTCTTACAGTGCCATTATAATTCAAAGATATGTGATCCATAGGGCTTAGGATACCAGTGGAAATGCTCTCATGTGGGCAGGATCTCCTTGGTTGATCTCAGAGATCTGCTGGCAAAGGGATGTGCCAGCAGAACTACTGTGAGCGCCAAAAAGGGGAGCAGACAAATGGTGGAGCAAGGAAGGAGCCAAACGAAGTCAGATCCAAACCTTCTCCAGCACAGGGACATATTCTCTGTGTTGGCACAAAATTAGGCCAAGATGAGGATAGTCTGAAGTAGTTTTCAGCTTCTGTAGTTTGGGTTTGGCCGCCTTCAGCTGTCCTAAGGTCACCTCGACCATCTTAGCTAGTTAGTGTTATGTCTTTGCAGTTCTGAGCATACGTAACTATATTATAAATTGTGCTTTTCAGTAGTTTTTGACTGCTACTCAGTTTTAAGGTTGTAACTGGATGATTATTTGGTAATGTTTTATCATTTTTGATGTTACTTTATGAAGTCTTGTAAGGGTCATCGTGTATAAACAGAAAAATAATTGGAAATAAATCCCAGATGAAACTGCTTCTCTCAGTGGAAAAGGAAAAAGTGTACTGCTTATACAGCACCCAATAGTGCTTAAAGCACTCTCTGGCTGGTTTGCAATTTAATTATGCAGGCTACACATTGGCCTCTCAGTGAGCTGGGTTCTCAGTTTACTGACCTCAGAAAGATGGAAGATTGAGTCAGTCTTGAGCTGGCAGAGTCTTCACTGAAATACTCCAGTTTGACCACTGTGCCATGAAGCTCCTAAGGATGACTTTGGTTCCTTTCCATTTGCAGCCCCTCTTCCTGAGAGCTGAGAAATCCCCCTACAGGACCCTGTAAGGTAATAGTGAAGGGAAGAAAGAACTGAGCATGCACTTAGGTTCAACAAAGTAGAACCCAATTTGAAGGAAGTTAACCTCTGGGACTCTTTTGTACCAATTTTCTCTGACTGAATTTGTTATTCCAATTTCAAATCAACCTGAGTTTCTTTTTCTCCCCCTTTCCTACAGGTTTATCTCAAAAAAAGTATTTTTCCACTTAGCCGTTCAGCACCCAGTGATCTACGACGGAAGTGATTTTCCATAACTTTGAACATACGTAATATTTATATATGATATCTTTCCAGACTATTTTTAAGAGACACTGTTATTTATATATACATGCAAGCACTAAGATTTTAGATTTCTTTGAAGCCCTCTGAGGGTTATGCAATAATTTTTAAAACTATACTTATATGAAGTTGTCTACAAAAAACATTAATTTTCATAGGAACACTAATGATGCTGGATGTGTGCCAAATAGTTAAAAGCCATCTTGTTTATTTCAATAAACAAACAAATACAGCTGTGCACTGCTGCATTGGATGCAAAAATGGCGCACAATCGAAATACACATTTTCAAAGGGCTAAAAAACAGCTGCGTGCTTTTGATTTGCTAGGTTGGAAGTTGTGTATGACTCTACAACACTACTGTTGCCTCTGATGCTGTTTTGAGGTCGTCTTCCCCATCACTTAATGCTGCAAAAAGGATGAAACTCAAGTCCACTTCTGCAAAATCAGAGGGTCTATTTCACTCGAAACACGCTCTATGTATAGAAAAGTTAAAATCTGACAAGCCTGAAATTTGCAGATAGCTGCCATAATATATGTATGCAGACTGGTTCTTCACACCATTTCACTCACTCCTCAGTGTCAGTATGTGATCATACAATGCACATAATTTGACATTTAGTCTCGACTGGACTTGAGCATATAAAAACATTCTTCCATGCTCTGTGCCTTGATGAGGAAACTCTCCAACTTCTGTTGGCCCAGATCCTGTGCAGAAAAGGTACTTTCACAGTCAGATTGGCAACTGAAGCCAAAACATTGCATAAGGAAGCAAACTTCATTTCTTTCAGTGGGATTTATTTCAGTGCAATATATTTAGAACCAGAATTTTTTATACCATAGGGCTAGCTTTGGGATGAGCAGCTTGGAGAAGTTTCTTTTTCAGAATTACAACCCCAAGCAGGTAGTAGTGCTGGCTGGGTGATTCTGTGAGCAATGATCCAAAAATAAACTTTCACAAGCTTCAAAAATGAGTGAGCCAGTGGCCCTAATTGAAACCTACTAAATAGTAATGTGCCCCCCTTTCAATTTGTATGACCTTTTCATAATTTAGGAAACATTTCCCAATACGTAATAGTGTGTCAAATGGCCATGATAATCACATTTGCAGAATAATATTGCAAGCACTTTTAAAAGAATTTGCACAACCCCTGTTAGGAATCAAATGGGTTTCAGCATAACCATCTCTAGAACAATCAATTTATTTGGTGCATTCATGAGTCACACTTTCAGTTTAGGAACCCTGGCTTTAAAACGGATGAAGTAAAGAGGCATTGAGGTGTTGCACGTATTCTGTTTGTTCCTCTCTTCACAATAATAGATGAGCAAAACATGAAGATATAACTTTATGTAACATCCAAAACTGGGATTAAGGCTAGGTGCACCCAGACCAGCCAGGATTCATAACGCAACAACAAACCCTAGCTTAAAGGATTCTGATCCTTGCTTGGCTGGGCATAACAAAACAAAATCCAGTTTCGAAGTAACGCAAAGCTATCCTTTTCTAAATACCTTGGGCTGCACATACCAGCTCACTGCTAGTTCACATCATAATCTGATGTGCTGGGCTTCATAGTTTAAGAAATCACACATTTATGTGTGTATCTGAAAAACACAGAGCTCAGAGAAGTTTCCTTTTGAATGACAATTGCCAGAATTCCCATCACTGGAGGAATGTTGAGTCCTTCCCCTTTTTTCCAAAATATTTACAGGTATGGCAGTGCTGGATGTTACCAACCATTGATTTAAACTGCATGTTGTCTGCCACTGATTTAAAATCATTGAAAGTGTCTGTATGCATGTGAGTTTCCTGGCAATTTATTCGAGGGAAAGAATTTTCAGCTCTTAAAAATAATTGTTCAGGATGGGAGAAACAATAACATGTCCTTGGTTGCCCTGCTGGCACAAAGAGACTAAATTCTGTGGGGAGTAAAAGTTTAAAGCAAACGAAAAAAGCAAAGTGTGCTGTTTATATATGGCTCTATAGTGCTTAAACCTCTCTTGGGGTGGTTTACAATTTAGTTATGCAAGCTACACACTGCCCCCTGCCACCAGCAAGCCAGGTACTCAATTTACCAGCCTTGGAAGGATTGAAAGCTGAGTAAAGCTCAGCCAGCTACCTGAGTATGGGATCAAACTCAGGTCATGAGCAGAGCCTTGACTGCAGTACTTCAGTTTAACCCACTGTGCCATAGGGCTCCAGGTTTACCATAGTATAGAGCTTTCATAACTTCAGCATTTGTTATCCACAATCTTTTCATAAACATCCAGCACACTGCCAGTTAGTTTTCTGCTTCACACACTTTAGAACTTTCTGTCGGGTATTTACCAGTGAAAGTCATGTGACACATTGCCATGTAATGCCTACACAGGTTTGGGTAGTGGCTATACTGGCACAGTGAAGACGTACAGTAAAGATGTCATGTGCACATTGTTTTGTACGGTGTGAGTATAGTCCCAAACCAACTTCTGATTCAGTTAAGAAGAAAACAAAATAGATAGTGTGGAAACAGTATAATTCCAAGTACTGCATTTATTTGATGCTGTTGTGACTGAGTTTGCAAAGAATGAATTTTATTAGAAATTAAGGCACAATAAGGATTTTAATTTTAAAAGCTGAAATAGAGTTTGCCGTGCACTGTGCAATATGAGATGGATTTGCAACTGTAATCCATATAGGATTTTAGTTGTGGTTTTCCAATTTTGCTATGGTTTGGGGATGCGGTGCTACTTTTGCAAATGTGTTTGCTTCACATTTCAAATTAACACAAAAGGGATTCTGTCTAATGTTATGAATTCCAGCTTATGGTTTAAATAGATATAATTGGTGGAAAAAAGTGATGCTTACCTATTTCTGTCTGTACTTTACTTTAAATCTTTGATTTCATGTCATGTACTTTGAAAAAGAGAAAAGAGGGTCAGATTGGATGCTGTGAAAGAAATGCTTCGGTGGATCTTGTCAATCCAACCCAAAGAACCTTTCAATTTTTATGTACTCATTAACAGCTAATCAGCGTTAAATGAGACCAATTACTAACAAGCCTTATTTTCTGAAATACAGTGTTGTGATTTTGCAGTTATTCCATGATATGTCTGCACTAGCAATCCTTACTACATTTTGTTTCACATTTTTCCTCACACCAGCAGTGATCTTTGCCCTTTTCACAGGTCTGTCTGTTTTGTTTTCTCAGGCCTGTCAGCTCAAGAACAATTGTCCCTCTTGATATACATAAACTGCACATACGCATGTGTATAAGTGAGAGTTTTAATATGACACCACATGCCCAGCATGAGATAAGATTGTGATGAATAAGATGAAAAATTATCCTTGAGCCCTTCCCCATGACCAAAAGTCCAATGGAAGATCCTTGCAAGGGGATCTGATAAATGCATTTCTGGCCTATAATCAACAGCAAAATCCTGATGGAATTGTGGGCATTAATGGGGAAAAGAGTGCAGTGGGTTTGTACCAGGAAGATTGATATGGATTATACTGGGGTCAGCAACTTGTGGTGCTCTAGATGTTGTTTGACTATATATCCCATCATCCCTCACTGTTAACAGTCCTGGCTCAGACTGATGAAAGCTGAAGCTCAGCAACATCTGGAGAGCCACACTTTTCCTTTAAAATACTTGCACAAACATAAATGCCTTGAGTTGCAACAGATGGCAGATACGAATCAAAGTTTAAAAAATTGAATAATCTGTTTTGATAGCTTTTGTACCATGAACAGCTGTTTTTAATTTTAATAGCAGGACATATAATTTCATTTAAATAAATGCCAACTTGCAAGTGAACAGACAAGAAGTGGGGCCTAAATAGCACCAACAATATATCGCTGAACGAGAAGCTTATTGTTAATATTAGTGAGAGATTGTGCTTGTTTTCCTGCCCTAGAATGGAAGGGAAAGAGTTCAGTTGCAATTATAATCTGTTACAAGGTTGAAGGAGACGCATAGGATCCAGTCATGTCAAGTTTGTTACAAAGCAGTGAACAGAGCATGACCTGGAACATTCTTAAGCTTTCCTGAGCCTGATATTTGCATGTCAGGAAGTTCCTGGGGCATTCAAGATATGGAAATGCTGCCGTTCTTCTATCATGTTGAAGCCTCACAATACAAAAAGGCATAGTACAACTTGGGAACGTGCCACAAGTCATGTCAGAGATCCACTCATGAATTCTGAAGTTCAACATGCCTGAAGTACACAAAGCACAAAGTAAATGGTATTGCTACTGTGTGGAAGGTGTTCCCTAAAAATTGTAACCCAATGAATTCCCAGTATACAAGACAGAAAATGGCTGGTTGTAGATGTAAGTATTGCTGGAAATCAGACTGGAAATGGCACTGAAAGTGCACCATGGTTGTTGTATCACTTCAGAAAGAAAGAAAGAAAAATGCAGTGCATGAGTATCCAGTTGATCTAATGGTAGAGATATTCCTGAGGTACTGACACACATATAGAGCTTTCAGATTATTTTACAGACTACATTTACAGGTGTACTTGTCAACACTGGTAATGTGCATCCTATAACAGGGATGAGAAATGTGTCTCCACCTGCTGCTACTCCAGTTGCTATCACTCATTGCCATTGGCTATGCTGGCTGGTGTTTGATGGGAGGTGAACGTGTCTGAAGGGTCACCTGCTCCCCATTCCTGGCCTGCAGTTCCCTCATACTGCTAAGTAAATATATCACGCTTCAGCTGTTCACAAACAGTATGGTTCTGGAAATAAGGCTGCGGTGTTGTGCAACTTGTCAAGCAGTTAACTTGAACACAGTGGGGCAGGCTTACACGGCCCTCTCCCATGTCTCCAGCAATATACATAGGGTCACATTGCACATTTTCTACCCCTTAAGATATGCACTTCTCTTTGGGGTGAGGGTACCACAAAGACATAAGCCAAAGCTAGCTTTGCACAGGCAAATTAACTGCCATGAAGAATATGACCCAGATGGGATTTTGTTTTTCCCCAAATTTGGTTAACAGCCTTTTCCAGTTCAGTACTTCTTGTTGAAAATTGGTTCATTAATCTGAAAAGGATATTCTGCAAGACTTTTTCAACTTGAGTTTTTGTTTTCTACTTGGAATCACAGTATGGTTTCAATAATCCTCATTAAAGAAAATTTGTGAGAACTTTTGAACCTGCCAAAATATATTACATGGCAGGATAACACCAAACTTCAGCTGACCTATTGCAAGGGAAATAATTATTTGTGTAAATGTTAAGTCTCTACATTTGTAAGGACACAGATGGCTTTTTATACTGGAATGTTTCTTGATGCTTTTTATACTCAGGAACTAAATAAAAATATTTAATGTGTTTGGATGGGTTTGTTGGTTTGTTTGAATAATTCATAATACCCCTTTTCTCTGAAAATAAGACAGGGTCTTATATTAATTTTTGCTCCAAAAACATGTTAGGGCTTATTTTCAGGGGATGTTTTATTTTACAGTCATGTCATCTTCTGGTTGCTGCACAATGGTGGGGGGCATGGTTTTATTTAACTGGGGCTTATTTTGAGGATAGGGCTTATATTACAAGCGTTGTGAAAAATCATTCTAGGGCTTATTTTCGTTAGGTCTTGTTTTGGGGGAAACAGGGTATATAGGGTGGCTCCTGAGGTTTGGAACCTGAGCCTGGGAGCTAAGAGCCAGGGGCTATGGAAGTGGAAGAAAATTGAATGATGACTAATGGGACTGGGGAAAACCTTTGATCAGAAATGTCTGGTGGTAGCTGATGCCTCAAAATGGTGCCTAACTGAGGTAGGTGACCGAGCAACAGCTCTCAAACCAAGCACAATTAAAAGTAAGTGTGTGTGTGTGTGTGTTCTGAGATATTACCCCTTCCCCTGAAGATCCTCAGATATAAAACTACAATCCAGAATTTGTGAGGTCAGCCAAATTAGGTTTTCTCTTGAAAATGTATGTGAACAATTAAAGATGCAGCTTCCTCCAGTGCTGTTATGGGTGGTGCTGGTTTGTCTTCCATTAACATGTTAAGAAGAAGAAAAATGAATAATTCCATTCCTTTTTCTAAGATTCCCTGAATTACCTTTAAAGCCCTACCAGAAATATATCAATTAGCAGTCTTTGCCATTAGCTAATACTGTTGCACTGCACTCTTCATTGGATGCTTCAGTGACAGCCGAGTGCGACACAGTATTTGGGCAAGGTTTTGAATTCTTCAAAACTGTTCTTCATGCCTAGAAGAAGAGTCACTGTATTAAATTCAGGGCCAAATTATATATTACAGATACAGTGCATCCTTAGAAGCTGAAATTCATTAGCATGTCAGCACTGACAGATTTTTCAGGCAGACCTTCATAACTGAGCAATCACTTGCAAATGAAACCTGTCCTTACCTCTTTATGTCTAGCCAAGGACCCAACATTGACCTACATCATTAAAAGACTAAAAAGCAAAAAACAGTATAGAAATACTCTAAAAGGATCAAACATATACCACATTAAAAGATGGTAAACAAAAGCAACAACAAAAACATTCAAAGCAGAAAGGCACAACCATTCATTAAGGAAAAGCTTGGCTTAAGTGAAAGGTCTTCACCTGCTTGAAGAACATGGATGGGGCCAGCCTGGCCTCCTGTGGGAAGGAGTTCCAAAGTCTGGGAGCAGCAACAGAGAAAGGCCTTCTTCTGTGTGCCCACGTAATGCACCTGTGAGGGTGGTGGGACCAAGGGAAAGGCCTCCTGATTATCTTAACACCTGCGTAGGCTCATAAAGGGAGACACCATCCTTGAGATAGCTTGGATACAAGCCATTTTAGAGCTTTATAGATTAGAACTAGCACTTTGAATTGTGCCCGGAAACTGATTGACAGTGGAGCAGCTGTCACAGGGTTGTTATGTGATCCCTGTAATCAATCCCAGTCAGCAATCTGGCAGCCACACTTTCCAGAGACACCCACACAATTTGTGAACTAGAGGAGGTTTGATAAGCTGTGCTGACAAATGTTTTCAGCATAAGGAATTCCCTCTTCGAAAGAATAGGACTTCACTGGGGCCTGCTTCTGAGTGGACGTTATAGGATTGTATTGCACCTCTCCGTTTTGGGGGCACTAGAAAACTGCCTGAATAGCTCACACTGCTGTATTCATAAGATTATGGAGCTGATCAGCTAGCTATCACTGAAATAGACTCATTGAAATTAGTGGGACTGCAATTAATCACAACTGTTTTAAACTTAATTATTGCGTTCAGCAGCTCTTCTTTAAGTAAGAGTGAGACTGGATCGAAACTTATATTTTTAGACATACATATTGACAACCATTTAGGCTCCCCGTCCCCTCCATGCACTCTTTGATTCCACTGATCCCATTATTAATCATTGGTTGTTTTGGTTCATCTGACAAGCCAGATTTACAAATCTTTTTGAAAGTGTTATATGAATACATTTTCTCACAATATTGAATTAAAATTTATAATCCCTGTTCTATAATAAGATATTGGGACTTTGCCAAATATTAAATGAAATCTATCATATAGGACTTAAATTTTAACAATAAAAACTGATTTGATTTTTTAAAAATCTGAACTTTTTTTTTAATTCTGAGTTTAAAAAATCACAGATTTTTAGATACTTTGGAGCTTGTAAACCCTACAGAAAACTGATAGGGAAGCTTTATATGCCATTAAAATCTTCTCTAAATCATATTAAGTGTGAGATTACACAGTGAGCAAAATGCAAACTGATCTACTGTAAAGTCACACCTGGGAAGTTGGGTTTCTCTAGGTAAATTTGAGTTAACAGGCCACACAGAGAGGAGGAAAGTGATAAAACAGTCTTGTTTGCAGCTTGTTAATGTACCTCTCCTGATTTGCAGGATGCATAGCTACGCAATAGTAGATAAGACAGAATATTAAGCCTCCTCGGAAAGCCTCCAATATGGGGGGGTGGAGGGGGGAGAAGGGAGGAAAGAAAAAAGAGAGTGACTTTAATGGAAGGAGGAGAGGGGATTGAATTGACATTCCTGGTGTATCCCATGAAAGGGGGTCCCTTGAAAAGGGAAGGACCCTGAGAGGTGACTGTGTGCAAGAGGAGAAAAAAGAGGACCTAAGTGAGAATGAGCCGTCCCCTCACATGTCTGAGAGGGAAAGAAAGAATGGAGGAATTGAGAGAAAGGAGAGACCTGAAATGGTTAATAAGATGAAAGGGCTAAAGGCGGGAGAAGAAGGGGAGGGGCTGGGTAGGTAGATGTGTTCCTGACATCGGAGAAGGGAGAGAGATCAGGGGAGACCCAGAAGGTGGTGGTCATAGAAGAATGGTTAGAGGGAGAAACTGAACCTAAGGTATTTAAGGTACCCCGAAAAGGGAGAGATACTGAGGGGAAAGATGATGACTCGAAGGATGGGGCAATTGAGAATATAAAATAGAAGGACTGTACCCAGAAGAATGGACAGTTTTAGTCTATCTGCGGGGGCAAGGTCCACTGAAGGTGACTCGACCGAGACTACTAAAACCAGGAGAAAAATCGCCGGAGGGAGAATAGGCACCCTACCTGTTGCGGGACTATTTGTGCCATAAGGAGTGGGTGCCTGAGGAGACTAACCGACACGAAACGCTTCGGTCAGTCCTACTGTTAAAGGAAGAATCCTATGAAAAGACATTACCTATGTTATGGACCAGTTTACCAGTTGATATAGACTTTAATGACCCTGATGAAGGTGTTGAGAAAAATGGTTGTTGTGGGTTTTTCGGGCTCTTTGGCCGTGTTCTGAAGGATGTTCTTCCTAACGTTTTGCCAGTCTCTGTGGCCAGAATCTTCAGAGGACAGCACTCTGTGCTCTGGTTGAGAAAACCCCCAGTTGTGTTAATAAAGAAACTCCGCTCCTGTCTTTTCCCGCACAAACTAAGGAACTGTCAAATAACTGCAATGAACTTGATCACAGTGACATTGCCTCCAAAAAGTCACCAAAGGGGAGTGGGCAAAACACCCAGTTTGTGGGAACTTATAAATCAGCAGACGTTTGCCACAACACAACCCTATTGACTGGGAAGCTTGGCAGAATACCCAGCTATTAAAGATGATGGGATATAAAGATTTAAGGGACAGTTGGTTAGAGTCCCAATAACTGGGTGAGGAAGAGCCCTTTGAACTTGGCCTTGAAGAACTTCAGGTTTTGTTAGTTAATCAGAAAGTCTCCTTGTCTTTAAAGGGGTAAAAGGAGGAACTGCCCGAAGTGAAACTAGAACCCAATCACATTCCTGGAAATTCCTAGTAGTCTCCCATTCAAATATTAAGTAAGCCCCACACTGCTTAATTTCCAAAATTAAATCAGATGAGTGTGTTCAGGGTGGCATGGCACTCAAGGATCACCTTGCTTATAACATTTGACTTTTTGTTGTAGCCTTTAGGAATTAGAATTGGCAACTGCCCTGGCAATCGAGTTTGAGGTCCAGATTGTCAATTGGCTAAAAAAAATTTAAAAAATGCCAGGATAGCCCATGTTATTCCAATTTAGCTCACAGGACTACCATGAAACCAAAAATAAACAGAAAGACTAGGTATGTTATTTTCAGCTCCCTGGAAGCCAGGACATAAATACCAGCACCAGATGCAAAATAAAAGTATCTCTCTCAACAATTCTCTCAATAACACACGCGTAAACCTGCAATATAGGGGAAATGACCCTAATCTGGAATTGCGCCTTTAAACAGTTTGCACAAAATAACACGTCGCAAAAGCAAGCGCTCCTTTTTCTGTCCTTTCCAGCAGCTGGGATGATGGACGCTGCTGACCAAAAAAAGTAGCGAAAACCCGATCTCGCACTCTTGAGGCTCCCGCGGACCGCTTCAAATTCAACGTCGCCAGCCCCGACGCTCTTGCACGCATCCACTATGACCTCACTTCCGGTCTCGCGGACGCTTCGCCGGCCAATGACGTTACAAAGAGGGCGCTCGCGACGGTTCTGTTCCGTCACCATGGCAACCGGAGACGTGTAAACCATCTCCTTCGCTGAGGACCACCACAGGCCCGTCATGGTGAGCCCAACCGACGCGGTTTCCTCGCTCCCTTTCGACGGTTGTTTCCATTCTCTTCGCGCTTCTTGTTGGAGGGCTTCCGAGAAAGGAATAGCCTCGGGTTGGCCTACCCAAGAAGCGCCGTCGCGCCCGCCTGAAAGAGGCCTAAACGCCATCGGTGTTCAGACGCACTCCATTTGCCCTGTCTAGACCGGGTGTGGGCTTAGAAATATATTCCTCATGACGAATCGTAATTCACGGTTACTGCCAGGCAACGGTTTCACACGTTTCATTCATCTCCCTTCTTGCCCCGCCCACCTGTATGTAGGATAAGCCCTCCAGATACTCCCTGACTTCAAAGCACCGTACCCTTCGCGAGAGGTTTTAACGATATCGTTTTGATCCTGTGTTCATAAGGACCCTTAACTTCTATCCGTTTTTGCTGCGGTTTCTCTGACAATCTTTTGCAGAGTTGCTGTTAAAGCGTCGAATTCTGATCAAATGGATCAAGGAGGGGTGGGATGCGGTCTTCCATCCAGTACATTGTTTTGTAGAAGGGAATCTAGCTGAGTATTTTTCAGTAAATATGTATAGGATCGCATTGCACTTAATTCTCTGGACGTCCTGTGGAGAATCTGGGAGTAAATGATGGAGAACCAGTCACTAATCTGAGATCTCATGTCTGGCTGCCTGCTTTTGCTTCATCATCCAAAGCATATGGAATAATTCTGCTTCTGTGATTTAATCAATAAATCTGGACGCTACAATCTGTACACTGGGTGGACGTGGGGTGGGAAAGCAGTTCAAAAATATTTAAAATATTGTTTATAAACTATTAAAATACATTTTAAATTGTGTAGGATGATGATAGCATTTCCTGTATTATTCATAACTAAATAAATAAGAACAAGCCCCAAATCCTTAACTGGAAAGCACTTCATCTAAATATTCTCTGTATTTTTTCATCTAGGCAGAATTGGGTCTGAATGATCACCACCAGAATGAAGTGATCAACTACATGCGATTTGCACGTTCAAAACGTGGCCTGCGCCTCAAGACAGTGGATTCCTGCTTTCAAGATCTTAAGGATAGCAGGTACCATGAGAATGGAATAATATGAATACAAAATCATAACAGGTCAATAATATCAGTCATTCACAAGCCTACTATGGAGAAAGATATAATCGTCAGATTAGTACAATTGCTTGTTTTATTCCAGCAAAAAGTAGAGTGAACATAGATTTAACTCTTCTGAAAAGATTACACCTTGGGAATACACTTATTATTTTCAGTATATTGCTTTTTCAGTATATTGCTTTATACCTTGCTGGGGTTTTTTCCTAATTATTTTGTTATTGTTTAGATCATTAAGTTGTGTCTAACTCTTCGTGACCCCATGGACCAGAGCACACCAGGCCCTCCTGTCTTCCACTGCCTCCCGGAGTTGGGTCAAATTCATGTTGGTAGCTTCAATGACACTGTCCATCCACCTCATCCTCTGTCGTCCCCTTCTCCTCTTGCCCTCACACTTTCCCAACATTAGGGTCTTTTCCAGGGAGTCCTCTCCTCATGAGAGGGCCAAAGTATTGGAGCCTCAGCTTCAGGATCTGTCCTTCCAGTGAGCACTCAAGGTTGATTTCCTTCAAAATAGTTAGGTCTGTTCTCTTTGCAGTCCAGGGGACTCTCAAGAGTCTCCTCCAGCACCACAATTCAGAAGCATCAATTCTTTGCCAGTCATCATTCTTTATGGTCCAGCTCTGACTTCCATACATCACTACTGGAAAAAAAATAGCTTTGACTATGCGAACCTTTGTTGGCAAGGTGATGTCTCTGCTTTTTAAGATGCTGTCTAGGTTTGTCATCACTTTCCTCTCCAGAAGCAGGCGTCTTTTAATTTTGTGGCTGCTGTCACCATCTGCAGTGATCATGAAGCCCAAGAAAGTAAAATCTGTCACTACCTCCATATCTTCCCCTTTTGTTTGCCAGGAGGTGATGCAAGCAGTGGCCATGATCTTAGTTTTTTTGAATGTTGAGCTTCAGACCATTTTTTGCGCTCACCTTTTTCATCCTCATTAAGAGGTTTTTTCTGCCATCAGAGTGGTATCATATAATGGACATTCACTGTTTTCCTGATTTGGAGTATTTGGCAGTGAAATGCCGCCGCTTTTACCTGCCTCGTGAGTTTAATGTTGTTATAATAACAGCAGTATATATACCTCCTGATGCTAACACAACCACAGCTATGAGTTGTTTGTTAACTGCTATCACCAAACAACAGCAGGCCTACCCAGATGGAGTGCTGGTGGTAGCAGGTGATTTCAATCAAGCCAATTTAAAGACTGTCCTCCCTAAGTTTTATCAGTATGTGGACTGTCCCACTAGAGGGGAAAATACCTTGGATCAGGTATATAGTAACATGCATGGATATAAGACGAAGCCATTGTCTAGTTTGGGACAGTCAGATCATATATCTGTGTTTTTGATTCCATCATACAGACCTCTTGTTAACAGAATCAGACCATCAACTAGAGAAATACGAGTGTGGCCAGTGGGTGCATCTGAGCAACTTCAAGATTGCTTTAGGAGCACTGATTGGGCACTGTTTGAGGAGGACAATGTTGATAC